ACATCCCAACATATAAAATGACAAAATAACCCTACCACCTGCAGTGTTAGATTCGGCCACCACAGCCAAAAAATGTGTTACGATACAGACCGGTGGATATGTATGTACACATCGTTATGGTCTTTTTTGGTTAGATCCACCATGGATTGACTGGAAAAGGCTAGATCTACAGCTGCTGTGGCGTCGACAGCCGAAAAAGGCCAAATGACGGCCATCTTTGGTCGTCAGGATGGTCAAAGGTATGGCCATCGTTTTGGTCAACGATGGCCATTTCTTTGGCGTCGCTGACGGTCAGATCTGGCCTTTCCGGCTAGATCCACGTAGATCTGGCTGGAAAAGGCCAGATCGGTGAATTATCAGCAAGTTTCGATCGGTAATTCACATTGTGTGCAGATTCAGGCTACCATCGACGGTGATTGTCGAAATTTGGCAAGTATGGGTCATGGGGGGTGTTTTTGTTATTTTTAAACTTTTTTTGTGGGTATTTAGTGAAATTAATAACCTTATGGGATTTAAAAGTAATTAAAAAAATAGGGTTATATTCCGAAATAATGTGCCAAATATTATTTGGAGAATAGGATTGAGAATATGGACAGAAATAATAAGCCAAACATGCGATTTTATTATCCAACCTGATAAAGTTACTGGTTGGTAATATCTTACCCTTGATATGTTGCTGGTTGGTAATCAGATCACTTACCCATTGTATAGTGTTATGTGCAGTCACGTCAGTTGTCTGACGATCAACTAAAAAGTAGATACCCACCAATGAACGAGCAAGATTAAACTTCCATATATCTAGATTACGGTCTTGCGAATAATTTTCCATGAATATGAGTAATTGAAATTGTAGCAAAAAATGTCATATAATGTTAACAAACCACCTAATGCTAATTATTGTATCTAAAGAGAAAAAAAATTGGCTAAGCTCGATTATAAATAAATCAAACACGCAAGTTCTATTACAGTTGTTGTGCAGTAAATCCATGCAGTATGGATTCACGACACATGTCCCTCTTGCACTCCATAGATTCACTGTCATATGTGACTCCATATATCACTCTTATTAAACTTTCTTAATTAAGCTCTAAAGGATAGTTCACTTATGCTCGTTTCGCTGCACTTGAATTTTACTTCGTTGTAAGTTTACCAATGCCATGAGTCTTCTATCCAAGGCATACTTCACTATAAGTCTACCATTATAACATATATAAGCCTACTTTTTACTATAATTAGGGTGATTCATTTATAGCTTAGGCATATCGCACTTGTATATAAAGAAAACAATATAAAAAGGAGTAGACATGGATTTGACCCAAATATCCGAATCACTTTAAAAATCTTATTCTGTATTATTTTTGTGTTTTATTTTATTCATTGATACAATAGCAGATGGTTTAATCCAATTCCTGCATAGATTTCACTATAGATCTTCCGTATTTTTCGTTTGCACGAATTTTTGCATCAACAACAATGGATATTTTTCTTACTCATATAATCCAAGACAAAATGTGTGTATTATACATCGTCTTTGCTCGGAAGAGCGATTAAAATCAGAAAAGTAGCAAATCATTGCACTTTAAATTACTTTTAATACATTACGCATATCTTAAACCCATTAATAAAGTCTAATATATGGAATAAAATAAGATCTAATTCATTATATACGATATAATTTTAAACTGTTATGTATCCTTTCAGGTTTCAAAACATGATACGTTTTCTTAGTGGCGGAACCAAAATATTATTTTTGGGAACTAAAGTATAATGTAAAGAATGAGGGAGAGCAAAATTAAATAATTTATTCAGAAAATTATATTAACAGAAATAAAATGAAAGTTTCAGAGAGAAGGCAGCCCAAAAAAAAAAAAAAAAAAGTTTGGGTGATGAAATTGTAATTTTCATAATATAATTTGATTTTTTTTAATAAAAGATTGACATAATATGATTTCCGATCGATTTTAATCTCTTAATTTTGTCAGTTTTAGGATGCTTTTGATATTTGGTAACTTTATAATAAAAATCAATCAATGAATCATATATCTTTCAATAAACATGGTATTTGAGCTAAAGATTTCAAGTTCGAATGCCTACATCAAACTTGATTTTTTTTTTTTTCCAATTCCACTAGGTGGGTATTTGGAATTTGAGACTTTTGGTTTTGATACCATTTAAGTTATTTTCCCAAACTTTTAGGTTAGATGACAATCTAACATGGTATAAGAGTTAAATTTTTAGTAATACTACACATACATCATTTTCATACAACATTGTGTGACAGGATATTATTGGTTAATTTAAAGTTAAAATTAAAATTTCACCCATTCATATCTTGCCACATAATATTGTATAAAAAGGTGTATGTATAGTATTATTCTAAGTTTTTTATCTAAATAATTACTATCACAGAATAATGTAGAAAATTTACCAACAAGTTATCATCCCTCCAGCCATCATATCCGAGGAGAAAACAACGGCAACCCAAACACTAAGCCCAACACACCAATCTTGGCCGCAGCAAACAAAAATAATTAAATCGATGAACTTGATGATCCATTTGATTGTATTTTTGTTAGTTAACCTTTTTCAAGTGTGGCGGAGCGTGCTTCGGAATTGGAGTTGCTGATTCCGGTATCCATTCATCAACACATGCGCTGATGTGGCACGTGGTTTACCCATGAGCATTGCACCGTTCATTGATCCATCTTCAGCAATTCCTTTCGTAAGACCTATGCCCTCTCAACCCTACTTATCAAATCGTTTTGCTCTCACAAAGTTTGGATAGTTTGAGGAAATTTTATTAAAAAAAATATTCATCTACTGTAGTACGCATAATCTTTAATTATACGTGTAACAAATTCAAGTAAAAATTAGAGTTATACATATATAATAAAAAGAGTCAGATGCATGCATTGAATTCTAACATTTAAGAGTTCTGTCCGTTTAGGACGTTAGACCTAATAGTAGTTAATTCGATGTACACAATTTTGAACTTATGTACATATTTCATGTATACATTCTGTCTCTGATTTATCTTAGATTGGAATATTAGGTGTGTTCAAACACATGAAGTGAAACAATATTATAGAATTAATACAAGGGTTTCCTAGACTAATTTAGAACCTAAGGTGCTGAATAAACTTATGCTTTTCAGCTCGAGATTTTGGCTTGAGAAGCCTTAAAACTAAATCACGTGGATACTACATGGATCTTCCAACCATTCTCTATGGATCTCCAACTTGGACATGTTGCACAGACACAAAAGTCACGCCCCTCTGGTGTACTTCTACCGGCGGCCGCACATTCAATCATATCGAACACCACAACCCTACTTCCATTAATTTTTACACGAATCACAGTCAACTTCTAAACCTGTCATGGTTAAACTTAAACTATCATTTGATCAAATCAACACCCTTAAAGAAAACTTAAAAAAAAAGCATGGTGTTAGATATACCACATATGAGATTTTAGTAGCACATGTTTGGCTTTGTATGCTCAGGGTATGTGGTTTGTCTAGGGATTAAATAAGGAAAGTTATACATACCAAGAAATTGACAACCAGGATTAAATCCTCCACTTTCATCTTAATATCTCAAAAATGTAATATTTAATGCTATAGCCATTGCTTTGCAAGGTGATATTAATTCAAAACCGTTGATTTACACTATAAAGATAATTCATGAAACAATAAAACAAATAGATGAGTATTTGAGGTCAATATTAAGTTACATGCAACAACAATATGATGATCGGGCGATTTTTTGTCAAGGAGGCCCCACCTTCAAGTGTCCCGAACTCCAATTTAAATGTAATGACTTTGGGCCTGCCAATCTTGGGCCACTATCCCTTTCAAGGGACATCCCCCATCTTGTCAAGCTCTCACCTAACAAAAATTGGTTTTGAGTCATCCTACCCATACTTATGAATAGGGATAAGTAGTTTCGGATACTTTATATATATATATATTTTTTTTTGAAGAAATTAGAATCGGAACGGAACCAGTTGGTTTCTAAGATTTGGAACCAACACTAGCCAGTTTTAATTCCTATAAACATGGAATCGGAACCTGAAACATAGGTTTCAATTCCAATTCTAGTTTCAGGTACCTGGATTGATTTTAATTACCCTAGATTTTAAGAGTTCTGTCCTCTTTAGACCTAATATTAGTTAATTACATGTACACAATTTTGAACTTATGTATATATTTTCATTTATTACATTCTGTCTTCTTATTTCCAAATTAAAGTCATAATTAATTATTTTGTACTAAATATTTGCAAATCATGAACGCATTTCAACCACCCTTATGAAACACTTGGTACTTCTCATAAATAAGAGGCATTATTTTATGATTCATTTAGGTTAAAAATCATAAAAGAAGTCATATAATAGACCTTACCGGTCGAAGATAACCCTCATTAATTATATATGTATAAATGTAACTTAAACCCATTAAATAAAGTCTAATATATAGAATACATTTAATTCATTATATATGTTATAATATTAACTGTTATGTCACCCTTTTCTTATGGGTTTCAACCCCTTTTTTTTATAGGTTTCAAAACATGATATGTTTTTTTAGTAGCGGAACCAAATTATTATTTTTGGTACTAAAGTATAATGTTTAAAGAATGAGGGAGAACAAAAATTAAATAATTTATTCAGGAAATTATATTTAACAGAGATAAAATGAAAGTTTCATAGACAAAGCAACCAAAGTACTAAAAAAATAAAAAAGGGTTTTGGTGATGAAATCGTAATTTTCATATATATAATTTGATTTTTATTTTTTTAAAGACTGACAATATTCTTTTATTTATTTTTTATTTTTTTTGAAAAAGTCTCTCAATGGATAACATATCCATGGCCTGTAAAATATCCCATATAAATCAACATTGCAGTGAAATCCACACTTTAACTTGAAGATGGAGATTCAAGTAAAGGAGTAAACAATTATTCATCCTGCTCAAGAAACCCCCAAGCATCGGCTAAAAATGTCGGTCATGGACAGTTTGACGATGACTGGCCATGTTCCAACCGTTCATTTTTACCGGCGACCAGAATCAAATGGTGAAGATGGTTCAAGTTTCTTTGAAGCTGAGGTGCTTAAGGAGGCTTTGAGCAAAGTTCTCGTGGCGTTTTATCCGATTGCAGGAAGATTAGCAAGGGATGAAAATGGGAGGCTGGAGATTGATTGTAATGAAGAGGGAGTTTTGTTCTTTGAGGCTCAAACAAATTGCGTTCTTGATGATTTGGGAGATTTCACTCCAAGCTTCAAGATTTCTCAACTTGTTCCAAAAACTGAATCTTTTAACCATTTCTCTTCTTGTCCACTCCTTGTAATACAGGTACGTACGTTACGGTTATATCTTACAGTCTCATGTGGTATTATCGTATCATTTACAATAAAATTATACTTACAACTTTCTCATACAACCTTAAGGTAGTAACTCATGATTGTTCAGTTTGCATTTGGGTAAATAAGACTCACTACAAGCTGACCAATCATGAACTAACACACCAAAGTTATATGAAAAAGTTGTAAGTGAGTGCTGCTCTATTATTTATCGCATTTTTATATATTATAATTTATACATAAACGTTACATGAAAATATCAGAAGATAAATCACTCGAAATAAGAAAATTCTAGAATATTAAGTTAAGATGTGTAGCAATACTTATATAAACAAGAATTAGAAGAAATTTTTAGTTGATACGAAAATTAGATTTGTAAAAAGAATAGCACTACGTATATGATATGAACTAATCTATACAAATTGATGTATTTAAATGTGTTGGTGTCAAAATCTTATATCGGTTAGGAGATGCGAGTTTTGGTCTCTTATATAACATAAGAACACTCAGTCACCTAGAAGTACCTTTTCAGGATAAAATTATGCGGACAATACCTCTGAAAATCCACCTACCGTGTGTGAAATAGTTCTAGATGCCTAAGCTTAGACAAATAATTAAATCGATAAATTTGATGATTTGTTTGTTTGTATTTTTGTTAGTTGACTTTTTTCAAGTGTGGCGGAGTGTGTCTCGGAATTGGATTGCATCATGCAGTTGCTGATGGACCTTCCGGAATCCATTTCATCAACACATGGGCTGATGTGGCATGTGGTTTACCCATTAGCATCGCACCGTTCATTGATCCAACAATACTTCATGCGATGACCCCACCTAATCCTACGTTTGACCACACCGAATATCACTCATCTCCTTCTATGAAAACTCAACAAGTAGAAACAAGTGCAGTAGTCCGTTCTACTTCCGTTGCTAGCCTCAAAATATCAAGCGATCAAATCAATACCCTTAAAGCAAGATTAGAAAAAGATTATGGTGCTAAGTGCAGTACTTATGAGATCTTAACTGCCCATATTTGGCGTTGTTTGTGCAAGGCACGTGGATTATCCGATGATCAACCAACTCGGTTATACATACCGACAGATGGACGATCAAGATTGAATCCTCCACTCCCATCAGGTTACCTTGGCAATGTAATATTTATAACTTCTCTAATTTTCCTTTCAGATGAAATCCAATCAGAACCATTGATTTCAACTATAGAAAAAATTCATAAAGAATTGAAGAGGAGGGATGATGAATACTTGAAATCAGCTCTTGCTTATTTGGAACAAAACCATGATGAGATGACTCACAACCTATTCCAAAGGGCTCACTCTTTCAAATCTCCTAACCTAAAGATCACTAGTTGGAGTCATATGCCCATTTATGAGGCTGATTTTGGATGGGGCCGCCCAATATTTGTAGGCCGGGCTAGTCTCCCCATTGAAGGGGCAACTTATATTTTACCAGGCCCATATAGGGATAAGAGTTTGTCATTGGTCCTATGTTTAGAGACCCACCACATGGAGCTCTTTAAGAAGTTGTTTTATGATTTTGACATAGAAGGATGGCAATAATAGAGCGAGGCGAGGATAGACAAGAAATGAAGATTCTTATCTTCATCTTTGTTCTTAAGATTTAAGTAATGTTTTATGTTGTAAGCGTTGGATTGTTTATGTAATAAAAGGAAGATAAAAGAGTAATGGTTGTCACGATACTTCTTTGGTTGTCACAATACTTCTTTGTGTATTTGTATTAATTATAGTTATTCAGTGTTTATGTTTTTCTTAAACTAATATTTAATACTTTATATAGGGAGTAGTATGCAATAAAAACTTGAAACTTTTGATATTTAATAAACATTTATGATGCAGGAAATGGTTTACTTTAATCAGTAAAACCTGATACTATTCTACTCATTTTGTCTTTATTTTTATTGCATTCTATCTTTGATCCATTAGTATTAAATACATCGAACTTTGTAGTCATCAATTCTTTTGAGAGATTATATTTACAATGAACAATCATATTAACTATGAAAAACACATCTTTTTTCAACTTATTACAAAAATTGACACTTGAAGAAATATTTCATCTTATCCAAAGATATTTCAGTCTTATATTTATACAAGTAGTTCCTTAACTGTTTAATATTTTTCTGTTGCTTTATATAAGGACAAAAATCGAATTCATTACTATTATTAATTGAAGAATGTACTCGTCATAAAACACTAATCAACCTATATTCGCTGGATGTTCTAGGAAGAAAACAGTAAGTCATGGTAAAATGTATCATTTTGATTATCATATATGTACCGAAGAAGCATTTTGATTATAATGATTTTAGATACTTAAATAGATAAACAATTTATCTAACATTTCAAAATTAAATAAAATTTATATTATAAAAACATATAAATAAATAGTAAACTTAAAATTAGAAGTAAATCTTATAATTTATTCAATTGTTTATTTAAATTGATTTAAAAAAATTAGCTTGTTGATAAAATTTTAACTTAATTAAATATAATCTATTCTAGTCCAGCATTACAGCAAACACAATGTCAGACCCCAAATTTAGGGACGTCAAAATCTTTGGTTTCTATTATGGAAAAATTGATAGCTTTGGAACAATGTCATCTCCTACTACATTTGCTGTGTGATACTTTGTATAGAAGATATATATACACCAATAGTAGCACATATTGACGAAGCTAAAAATTGTTATCCTCTTGTAGTATTCATCCAGGCGACTCCGGTTCAGGGTGTCAGCAAACAAACTTCCATATGCATGAACAGATATTATGCTTAGGAGATTTCCAATTCCAATCACGAACTTAGTAATTGCTGATACATAGCCCTTCCATGATATAGGGAAATTATCAATTAAGAATTCATCCAGTCCTTCTTCAGCAATTCCTTTCGTAAGACCTAACAGGCAGTACTGTGGGGCAAGCCAGAAGATGCTCATTGGTATAATTTGATCTGGCTTGTCAAGGAATCCTTCCTTGTTAACTACTATCAACCGGTGAACCTCAACCCGCTCGGCAACAAAACAACAAAATATAGTTAGCACCATTCCAAACCAAATTCTCACTAATTTGGCTTATTTCCGTTTATCTACTGGAACCCATTCTGAATCTAAAAAATAGCTAAACAAATAGGAGATACTTTTACTTGATACGGATTGAAAGACAAATAAAATAGTAAAGAAGCTTGAAAGCTGCATCTCGTCTCCCTGCTCAGGGAAAAAAGTTTCTTCTGTTGATACGACCAAACCATACACAAGGAAGCTACTCCCCATAGGAATCATATTTAGAAAAATTTTCCCACTGTGAAGCCTGCCTTCCATATCTTGTCCTTGTGGTCTGAGGGTGGATGGTTCCCTGACCTTAGCTTGGTCTGTTAATCTGCATTACGGAATATATTTATATGTAAAACAAAGTAGATTTTTTCCTAAATACATGTAATATTTCTATCTCATCTGGTCGCGGATATTTTAAGATAAATATTTATATCACTTAGACCCAAAGAGTTAAAAATAATAATAATAAAATTAAAAATGGAAAAGCAGTCAAGAATGCCGTCTACCTAGGCCTTCTCGATTGGTAGAAGTAGACATCATGGCTATAATAATTATGGCTGCCAGCAGGAGCTGATTTTCCACAATAATGAAGCCAAGCGGTACCCCCCACGAAAAAGATGAGAGTAATTACCGTCGCTTTTGCTGAGAATGAAAAAGTATCTGCCCATGAGTAATAGCGTATTAGGAATGAGGTAAACACACTAAAACACCAAGAACCACGCCACCAAACTGTTTTCCGAGCCTCTACTCGATCCTCATTTTTGTTTGTTTTTGGTTCACGGGCTCTTAATTGATCAGCAATAAAATCACCTAAAAGTGCCATTACTCCAGCTTCACCCACTGCTGTTACGAAGACTCCTATTATTTTGAATAAGATGCGTCGTTCGATTTCATCCGACTCTTCAGCGTGAGCTATGAAGTATAACATCACCAATCCCTGCAATGCAAGTTGCAACAACAATTTTTTATTTTATTCACTCCAGCATATGTGGTAATGAACTTAAAATTAGCATCCATTTGTTCCATTGATTTTTATTTAAACAAAAAAAAAAAAAAAAAAAAAGTTTCAAGAAAAGAAAAAAGAAAGGAATGAATGATTAAAAAGGGTAATACACAAAAATAATTATTATTTCTTCCTTTCTTTAATATATATATTAGACTAAACACCATAGAGAACGATAATATAAATTTTCAAACTATAAAGGATAGACCCTAACATTTTTCAGTATCAGAGCATCACGAAATGCTACAGTTTCCGACTCAAACTAAATGTGAAATTACTTACAGCAGAAGTGAAGAGGTGAACAAGTGTGCTTTGGGACGACTGATAAACGTTTGGAAATGAAAGTCAAAACGATCACAGATGTGGCTGATATTAGATCCTTGGTATTCACTATTAATGAGCTTTCGTGAGATTGATCTGCTCCGAAGAACTAGTGAGGTATGTTATAATGACAAGCATTACAGAATATTCCAGCAGCTAATAGCTGTACACCAAACCTGAAAAATATTAACAATGAGTAGAATATTAGACAAAATCAATACTTTTACCTGACAAGCACGTTAATTAGGTAATTGTCAGCCTCTATATATGTAATTACCTGACGCAAAAGACGCCAGGACTAAAGCAAAAGTAGTACTTTCCCAATCTATGAATTTGAATATCTTTTCATTGAAAGAGTCATGAAGCTTGAAGATACGAGGATCTGGTATCATGATTCAGATCGGAGCATATAATGTCTTATTAGAAATAATAAACTATTTCTTCTTCTTTTGTGTCTTGCTCTCTTTGGGTTGAGTCGGTCAGGTGAAATGCAGAATCTTATACTCCGTTGTGCTTTCGTTGAGGTATGATTTTGCACTGCGTTTTTTTTTTTTGTTTTTCAAGTTGAACAATTTCTTCTGGGGCTACGGATGGAGTAGATGCTAGCCACAGATATGACGATCCGACGGCTAGCTTTCTCCTCTTCGTTTTAGCTCTGACCAATAGTTCTCTGCACGAGACACGTTTAGAACACGCTTTCCCTCAGCCCTTTTATTAGAACACGCTGTTTTCTTATTACATATAACAATTATTTGATAAAGTTAATTTAGATATAGAACAGAAAAAATTACTACTTTTAGTAATTCAAAATTGACAATACCTCTAAGAATTTACTTACTATGTGTCTAGATCCAAAGTAGAGATCAATAGGGAATGGTTTGGAGTCTCTTCAGCTTTATGTGAATATCTGTGGCTGAATTTTTGTTATTTTGGAAAAAAATTTCTATTTAATCAAACTATAGAAAGTCGATCCATTTTACTTCTTTAAATAAATTAAAGTTATTTGCATGACTGATGTAAATTGCCCCCACATAATTAGAGTTATTTGCATGATTCCAAATAATTAAAGTTAGTTGCATGATTGATATAAAAGTGGGTATAAGGTAGCATATTGGTTTTGGCCTTTTATGTACCAAAGTGTAATTGGGTAGGTAACCACGTGTCTCATGCCATACCACTTGTAAATAATCTCAAAATATCTAAGGATTTTATTATTCAACCCTTGATAAAGTTACTCGATCGGTAATTTTATTCAATAATGCTATACTTATTCATAAACTTACTAATCATCTTACTAATCTTTGTAAATATAAAACATAGTACGGGTACCATAAACATAGTACAGGTACCATATATAATTTTAACAAAAATGAGTAAATCCATGCAGTATGGATTCACGACACATGTCACTCTTGCACTCCATAGATTCACGTCATATGTGACTCCATGTATCACTCTATATTCAACTTTCTTCATCTACAAGTCTCTCAGGGATAAGTTTCACTTATGCTCGTTAGGGATGGAAAAATCCGTGCCATGAGTCTACTTTTTACTCTAATTAAGGTGATTTATTTTATAACTTACGCAAATCGCACTTGTATATATAAAAAAAAATAATATAAAAAATAGTGAGTGTAGGATTTTTCCCAAACATCTGAATCATTTTAAAAATCTCCTTCTTGTATTATTGTTATTCTTTTATTTCATTCATTGATCTAACAGCAGATGGGTTTAGTACAAACTCCTCCATAGATTTCACTACGGATCTTACATATTTCTCATTTGCACGAATTTTTGCATCAACAACAGCTGATATTTTTCTTCTTGCAGTATAATTCCAAGATAAAATGTGTATTATACATCGTCTTCGGCTCGGAAGAACGATTAAAATCAGAAAAGTAGCAAGTCATTTGCATTTTAAATTACTTTTAATACATTATGCATATCTTAAACCCATTAAATAAAGTCTAATATATGGAATAAATTAAAGATCTAATTCATTATTTATGATATAATTTTAACTGTTATGTAATCCTTTCTGGGTTTCAAAACATGATACGTTTTCGTAGTGGCGGAACCAAAATATTATTTGTGGGAAGTGGGAACTGAAGTATAATGGTTAAAGAATGAGGGAGAGCAAAATTAAATAATTTATTCAAAAAATTATA